ATTCGACGAATTCCTGGGTGGTGGCGAGGGTCGCAGAACCAAAACAAGAGAGGCAACGTCGGCCGCAGTCGGCCAGACGGTGCCTGGACATGAGGGCAGCAACAGTGGCAGCAGCGGGAGGCGGAGGAGGAGGAGGGGCGGGAGGAGGCGGGACCTCAGAGGGGCTCCCAGGGCCTCGGGCGGCGTCCCTTTCCATTCTCTCAGTCTCCTGGCTGGCCGCAATGCTGTCCAGCGTGGCTCGGAGGAGCCTCATGCGGACGAGGTACGCCCTCCGCTCGGCCAGCAGGATGGGTTGGCGGACCTCGGCGGGCAGCCTGGCTCTGGCCGCTGCACAGCCCGCGAACTCGTCGGCGAGCAGGTTGCCTATGACGAGGTACCTGTTCACCTTCTGGGCAGCAACGTCCTGGGCCGTGCTGTGGGACGGTGTCCAGAGCACCGTCACCTCGGCGTGGCGGCGTGAGCTCATCAGGTCCCCGATGAGCTTCCATAGGTCGGCGTCCTCACCTGCTGGGTTCGTGTAGGCTTGGGAGTACCAGCCCGCCGCCACATATTCACAGTCCGTCACGTAGGTGAGGAACCTGGTGGTGCACCAGAGGGCGAGGTACAGGGAGTAGAGCTCTCCCCTCGCCACCACTTGGCGTGGGCCACCCAGCTGGCCGAAGACTGCACCATGTAGGTTGATCTCGGGCAGTAGGCTGGCAACGCATACTATGGCGACTCCAATCCTCATGAAATCGCTGATGCTCGCATCTGGTCCTCCGCTGGCGTCCCCGAAGATCTCGACTGGAGACTCAGCACTCCCCGCCCCGAAGATCCCTTCGGACAACTCGTTGATGCCCGTGAACTCAAGGACCGTGTCCTTCGGTGGGGGCGGGGTCTGGGTCCACTGGGTCGGTAGCAGCCCACGTAGCCAGAAGCACTCGGTGGCGTCCGTCTGGGCCATCGCAGCTGAAACCAGAGACTCTGAGCGTTCATATGGCGCGGCCTGCACGTTCTTGGGGAGGGAGGGAGGAGGGGGATCGACGGGGGAGGAGGAAGAGAATGGGAGGGAGGAGGGGGATTGACGGTCGGGAAACGAGGATTTGGACGTTCTCGGCCTTCTCTCAGGCTGCAGCCCGGAAGCTACCTCCAGATACCTCTGGGAGGAGGAGCAGGACGATGATGAGGGGGCAAAATCGAGGAGGGGGGAGATGTGCTCGTCATCCTCTTCCTCTTCCTCCTCCTTCCTCCTCCTTCTCCTCCCGCTCCTCCTCCACCTCCTCCTCCGTATCCTCAGCCTCCTCATCCTCGTCCTCCTCGTCCTCCTCGTCCTCATCGTCATTCTCGTTATCCCATCTCCTCGTCGTCCTCCTGCACCTACCTCTTTGTCCTCGTCTTCTCCTCCCTTTTCCTCTTCCTCTTCCTTCCTCCTCCTCCTCCTCCTCCTCCTCCTGCGGCCGCGCTCTACAACCTCCTCTGGTCTCCCGTCGTAGTCCTTCCTAGTCCTCGTCCACAACTTCATCGTCGTCCTCCTCCCCCTCTTCCCCCTGTTGTTTTTCCTCTACGTCCTCCTCGTCGTCCCTCCTCCTTCTCTCCTCCTCAACCTCACCATCATCAACCACCACCACCACCACCACCACCACCACCACCACCACCACCACCACCACCACCACCACCACCACCACCACCACCACCACCACCACCACCACCACCACCACCACCACCACCACCACCACCACCACCACCACCACCACCACCACCACCACCACCACCACCACCACCACCACCACCACCACCACCTCCATGATCATCAGCATCATCGGCAGCGTCGGCATCGGCATCGACATCGGCACCATCATCATCATCATCATCATCAGCAGCATCGTCATCATCATCAGCAGCATCATCACCATCCTCATCATCATCCTCATCATCATCATTCCTATCACCATCATCACCATCATGATTTTCATCATCATCATCATCACCAGCATCATCAACAACAGCATGGACATCACCATCGTCATCATCATCAGCAGCAGCATCGCAATCAGCATCATCAGCATCATCATGTTCTTCATCATCATCAGCACTATCACCACCACGGCCATCATCATACGAATAAACATACTCATCATCAATATCGTCGTCTTCGTTCTCGTTGCCGTCGTCATCATCATTATCCTCATCAACATCATCAGCAACAACATCAACATCATTATCACCATCATCAGCATCATCAACGTCATCAGCATCCTCATCGTTATCCTCATCCTCATCCTTATCCTTATCCTCATCCCTATCATTATCCTCATCATCATCAACATCATCAGCAGCAGCAGCAACATCATCATCAGCATCATCGTTATCCTCATCCTCATCCTCATTGTCATCATCAACACCATTACCACCATCATCACCACCACCACCATCATCATTATCATCAGCATCCTCCTCATCATCGTGCTCATAAGCATCCTCATCATCCTCATCATCGTCCTCAGTATCCTCATTATCCTCACCATCATCCTCAACATCTCGGCATCCTCCTCATCCTCATCGTCATGATCTTCAGTATCGCCACCACCGCCATCATCATCATCATCATCATCATCATCAGCCGCATCAGCATCAGCACCAGCATCAGCATCAGCATCACCACCACCATCATCATCACCATCATCATTATCGTCGTCATCATCGTCATCAACATCATCGTCATCATCATCAACATCACCATCATCACCACTACGATCATCATAACCTCATCAAAATCATGATCAACCTCGTTATCTTCACCATTACCGTCGCCATCGCCATAGACATCCGTCACCATCAAAGTATTGCCCTTTAGTTAGGTCGCACCTCTCGCTGGTCGCTGCGCTCCTCATCATCGCCATCGTAATCGTTATCGTCGTCGTCGCCCCTTCTCCCCCATCCTCCTACACATCCTCCTTTCACCCCCTGTCCCATCCTCCCCCGCCTCCTCCTCCTCCTCCTCCTGCTCCTCCTCCTCCTCCTCCGACAGTCCAGTGGGATGGCAAGCGATGTGCCCTGCTTTCTGGAGAGGCGCGCACGGGCAGGCACGGACGGTAGCCGCGATGGTGAAGATCGCGGCGATGCCAGCAGCCTGATGGTAGCGACACGGACCTCGGGGTGGCGAGAGTGCAACACGACGGGCGGTTCCTTCTGCAACCTCGGCCCTCGGCTGGGAACATCTTCGCGCCCCAGGGCCATGAACAAAACGAGGCCCGCGGCACAAAACTCTGCCCAAGGATGGGATCGAGAGCTCGGAAGGGGAGCGGGGGGGACGTCGTGGAAACACGACGTCAGAGAGCTGGGAATCAGAACCGTGATCGCAACGCTGATGGCCCCTCCCCTCCTCGTCCAAGGCCGTTGTAACAGTCTGGCTCTTATGATCCGACAGTGGTAGCGAGCGGTAGCGCGCCACTGTCGGCGATAGTGGCGTATGTAGCAGCTCTTGCGACGGCGAAGACGACGAGTACGTGTGAAGCGGCTAGAAGAGTTCGAACCGACGAGCACGCTGTAGAATGGATGCGATGGCTGATGAATTGTCGAGGCGAATGCCACACGCACGACACAACGCAACATGCACTCAAACACCGGAGGAGGGTGCGAGCTAAGGATGCCAGGCCCCTGCGCCGCACACGCAAGAATCTGGGCCGGGCAGGCCGCAAGAGCAAGCCGAGCGGGCAGGGGCACTGCAGGAGCAGCCTCGACGTCGTGCTGACTACCTGCCAGGCCACCCCAGCCCAACCCGAAGACCCGAATTTCGGGCTGGGGGGGGGGTACAGGTTCCAGATGTATGTTTGTCCATGTTCTTCGCCCCCCCTCCACCACTGGAAATGGAGGGTAAATTGAGGCCTTGGATGGGGGTGGTTTGGTGGGTGGTGACTTGCTGGCATCCGCCCACACAACACAACACAAATCCTGCTGCAGTGGGGACGACGCCGGGTGAACCTCCTCTCTCGGAGGTGCAGTCAGCCCGTATAGTGAGGACGCGAGATAGGGATGCAAGGGCCTTGGACGCTCATCTCCAAGCTTCTTCGAGCGGGGCGCGGCCGACGGAAGTGGCCAAGGGTGGACCGAGGGGGGCGGGGAGAGATACGTGCAGTGCACTCCTCGGGACCTGAAGGCCCCCTCTTGGGGCCCTCAAGGGCCCCTTTTCTGCAGCCGTCGCCGCCCCCCTCATTCATCGCCCCCCCATTACGCGAGGCCCAAAAGGGCACCCTTGGAAAGGTCGCCCGCTCTTACTATGCGGGCTGGCTGTATCCGGCGGCGCTCACCCCGACGGCTTGTGGCTTTCGCGGCACGCTCCCCGTGGGCAGCCCCGCGGCCAGGAGCGGGCCCCCAGAAGAGGGCGTTCCGCCCGGAGCCGCCCGCGTCGAGGCGCCGCCGAGCCCCGGGCCGACCCCCCTTATCGCGGACAGCTAGCGCGCGCCGAACGCGAGCAGGAGCAGCAGCACTCCTGCTCCTCCTCCTCCTCCTCCTCCTCCTCCTCCTCAGCAGCAGCAGCAGCATCATCCTCCATCCTCCATTTTCCATCCTCCATCCTCCTCCATCCTCCATCCTCCTTCTCCTCCTTCTCCTCCTCCTCCTCCTCGCAGGAAGAAACGAGGAGACGAGGAGTGGCGGTTGGTGATGGGACTTCGGCAGGAGAGGCAGTCGAGCTACGTGCTGCTCAGGGCTGGGTAAGGCGCTGAAGGGAGCTCGCAGCCCGAGGAAGGGGAGGGTCAGCGGGAGGAAAAGGAGGGCCCCGAGATCCGAGGTCGTGAGGAGAGTCGCAGCTGCGCGACACAATCACGATCAGAATTGTTCCCCCTGGCCTCGAGTCTGCGCAACAGAGACGCCAGCATGATTTGACCTGATGGACGGAATGCCAGGTGAATCTCCAGCACCAGGCTGTTGCCCTGCATGTTCGGCAGATTGGGAGGGGCCCGCGCAGGAGCAGCAACAGGACGGAACTCAGTGGCCAAGGCAGTCCGTGCGCCCCCCCGCTTCTCTGGACCCCCTCCGCGCGGCAGCGTCGCTCCGCGAGGCCGCACCTTTTTCTGGCGTGCCCGCGCTTGTGGCCACGCACGCCCATACGCCCGCAGAACTCGCAGGGCTGCCTTGCCTGTGGGAGGTTCGGAAGAAGAGGCGGCGGCCGCAGAGCCCTCCCTCCACCCCTTCACGCTGTGTTTCCCCCCAAACATACATGCCTATATATC